ATCTGGGAGTAAAATTTGACAAAAGGCTAATCTGGGGCCCCCACATTGAAGACACTCAAAGGAAAACTACCCTGAGGCTCAGACTGGGGTGCAGAGGCTAACACTGTACGACAAGTACACACAGGATATGTACGACCAAAACTGGAATATGGCATGGGAGCATACTCCACTGCAGCCAAATCAAACTTATACAAACTGGACAAAATATAGCAGATTGGTCTCAGAATCATCACTGGAGGCATGAGAAGCACACCAATCAATGAGCTGGAGGCAACTTCTAGGCTCCAGAGCTTGAGCCAGCAAAGGGAAGAAAAAGTGCTTACCCTAAGAGAAAAATTTAAACGCATGAACAACAACCCCATGCACAGATCAGCAAATAACTTAACTAAAAACTGACTGAAAAGACAAAGCTTTCGCCACCTATCAGAATTCTGTACTATGAAAAAAAAACACAAACCCAGTAACATCCTTTCTAAATATCCTTCAACGTGATATCCAGGCATACTGCATAGACCTGCAGTCTAACTATTCAGTCACAACAACAATCCCAGGCACAGACAGAAAGGCTAAAGAATGTGACCTAGTACTGCATGTAAAGACCCTTGAACATGTCTACAACTCTTACTTAAAACCTGAATGGACACACATATACACTGACGGATCACTGGAGGGAGCAACAAAAAAAAGGAAGAGCTGGACTGGTCATCCTGCTGCAAGATGGGACCACAGTAGGAACTTCATGTGTCTCCGGAAGACTCTCAAGAAAACAGAGCAGAGCAACAAGCAATTACTGATGCAACCAAAGTGCTTGAGGAAAGAAAAATTAAAAACAGCAGAATTGTTTTCCTGTGTGACTGTATGTCAGTCCTCCAGGCAACTCAGAGGGATCCATGAGACAGCATGGAGAAAGAAACGAACAGCCAGCTAAACAGGCTGTCAGACAACATAAAATCGTCACACCAGAAAATGAGTTAGCAGACAAACTTGCACAAAATGGAACTAAGGAGAAACAACTCACCCATTCATTGTCATTACCAGAAATCAGAACACTTATCAAGGAAAAACACATGGAAATGTGGAGAGAACAAACTAAAAGTAAACAATCACAAGACCCCATCAGCAGACGCAACAGAAAGCAACGTACAACAATTTGCCATCTACGAACAGGGCGATCATGCCCCACCACAACCTACAATCTTCAACAGCAAGTTTGTGTGCTGACAGCTTGCAGGCCATGATGAAAGGCTGTCAATAATCTTCTCCCATTGTCTTCCTGTTGCTTTTCCACAGATCTTTTCAGTGGTTACCACATGTTCCAGTTTCCATCAATCTAATCCTGTGATTTTACATTAAAATATATGTTATAACAATTCACTTTACTTCTCACTTTTCACCATGAACACTAGAAAGTTCATGAAGACAGGACAGCAGTCACAGGGGCTAAACACAGTCAGAGGTTTCATAACATCAAAGGCCTTACCCTTTTCAGCAGAAAGTCTGTGATGTCTGTACTATCTCGAAGAGCCAGATGTAGCTGGGAACTGCTCCCTGCATTGGGTAACTTATCCACTGGTGCCAGTTTTGGGTGCACACGGTTCAGGGAATTTATCCTTTGTGTGTAACCCGTGACCTTCAAGGAAGCAAAGCATAGTAACACTGTAATCTACCATAAAGGTCATAACAGAAACTAAGAATGTTCAACATAATCAACTTCCCTGTGTGGGTTTCGGAGCTCCACTGTGGGGAAAGGGAAGAAATATAGACCCACTGCCTCCCTAAAAAGCATATCATAAAAGTCAACTAACTAGGGGTTTCCTTCCAAGTCGGAGTGCATCTGCCTAAGTGGCAAGGAACCAACAATCTGCATAAAATTAAGTCAGATCTGTAAAACAGATGTGCTTGCAACACTTAGGTTCTGGAACAAGTATAGAGGTGGACAACCAACTAGAACTTTCCCACAGGAGTTTACAGCCAGTGAATGCAAAGAAGAAAGCAGAACAAGTCAACAGAACTGCTGCAAAAATTATTTAGTAGTCAGGAAAGAACACAAACTTAGGAAAGTGTGAAGAACTGGACATGCAGGCCTATCTAACACTCTGCCCTTTCAACCTGACTCCTTCCATACATCAGTGTATTCATGATTTTACAATAAACATATTATCAGTGAAGAAATTAAACAGGCTGTAAAGAAGGATGTTAGGTGACTTTCTACAGACATTAATGAATATGAGAATTGTATAAATGAAAACAGAATATAAGAACTGGCTGTAGAGACAAATATCTGGGGAATTTTTGTAGAAATGACTGAATATGCGAATTACATACACAAAAATAAAGTAATTTTGAAGAATGGAACCTTTAGGAATATAGACGAAATATGTTAATGTCAGCTCTTGGAAAAATATTAGACAGGATCCTTTAGGAGAGATTAGGAGATACCACTGATAAACAACTAAGGGATATGCTGGTATTCTTAGAAAGACAGATCCTGCACAAACCAGATAGGTACAATGAACAGTAATAGAGGACAGCAATGAACCAAATTCGCTACATTATATAGGGTCTGTGGATTATGAGGAGATCTTTAACAACAATGAAAGGGAATCTGTAAACTAATGAGACACTACAGTGTCCCACTGAAAAATAATTACATTATTAAAGAGAAACAAATAAAATCATCAAATGCCAATTTCCTTATGAGGGATAAACTAAGGCATATATTTCAGAGTCTGCCTGAGAGGTGAGGAACCAACAGTCTGCACACAAATAAGTAAGATCTGAAAAATAATTGTACACACAGAACTCAAATTCTGAAATAAGTCAAGGACTAGACCAACAACCTGAACTTTCAGCTAAACTTCACAGCCGGTGAAAGCACAGAAGAAGGAACAAACAAACTTTACTTTTAAAGGGTCACAAATTGGGCATGCAAGCCTTTCTTTTATTCGGTCCTTCCAAATATTCATCTTTCATTTAGCAATGGTAATATATATATCTGTGTGTTATTTATACACACATACAGACACACAAAAGAAGTAAGAATACAAATAAGTCTGCCTAGGTTATTGAAAAAAATAAAATGACATATCAACTGCTCAGAAGTGGAAAAAGCGTGAGTCTTCAGGACATAAAAGATTATAACAGCGCAGAAGGGAAAGGCCAGCCTGGATAGTAAATGCCTGAAGAAGTTGGATGTGTCATCAAGAAGAAAAAATACTGCAGCTGTGTTGTAAACAAACACAACACAAAAAAACACTAGCTGGATAAACAAAGAAGAAACCACTGTTGCAGAAAACTAAGCACGGGAAATACTAATGAATGTATCAGTGTAAATGTAAACTAAAATCAAAGCAAAACATTTGCCATAAGAATAGTCAGTATCTGGGCTTCTGACCATCACAAACCTGGACAAACTGTATGGAGGTACTAACAACCTAACGTTGACTGCTGCTTTCTTTAGTTTATTCAGTCTGATGTCTGAAGATGTAGGAAGAAGAAGGAGAAGAAGAAGAAAAACATACAGTAGGCTTTATGCTACTGTTCCTACTGATAGTAAAAACAGACACAACCAGGGCTGTATTTAGGATGTATGACGCTCCTGTGTGGGCATTTATTTTATGCCTTTTTGACTTTGGCTACACTTCAGCATCGCTATCCATTTACAGGTTACCAACAATAAGGTGTGGAATTATTTACTTCGGTTTTAAACTGTACTGAAGTATGTAGACTTGATTGAATACACAACAGATAAAACAAATGTGTAAGTATGGGTCTTAACCCTTTGAGTCCCAAGGAACACATTATGCGCTAATTGGTTATTACCGAGGCAGCAAATTGGCATGTGATGTGCATTGGTTTTTAATTTACTAATGGCCAGTATAACAATGCAAACCGGCTGTTTTAGATGGTATTTCCTCTTCTTTGCATCTGATGTCAAATATGTTGACAATAAGGTTTATTTGAAAATGTGGTTAAAAACATAAAAGTAGCATGTCTGTTAGCTTTACTGAGTTAGTAAGTGTCTGTGTGAAAACAATATGGGCTCCAAGCAGACTTCATGTATGCCATCAAGATTTATGAATTTAGAAGCCTCATGTTCAAATTAAACACGCGTTTATCAGATTTATCCGAAGCTAGACAAAGACAGTTACGAAGTAGATTTGTTTCAGTTAGGCAAAATTTGATAAGTACTCCAAAATATACGTTATCCAAACCCTACAACGATAAGAATGTCAACAATGTTAAAACAAACACAACAAATTACCCTCAGGTTCACTTCTTGATCAGACCGATTGAATATAGTTCTCATGGTATCAGGTGCTGTAAAAGACATAAAGCTATATATATTTTTCTACTCCTCTGAAGAAAACAGTAAAAACACAAGATTTCTCATAACCTGTATTTTATCTGACAATTGTCTGTCACATAATACAGTAATGTTTGCCCAAGCAAGGCAAATCAATAAATCAGGTGCTGTTCTGAAAGTGAAGGTTGGTTGCAGCAGATGTACAGTACTGTCTCTTGTTTTGTTTGTAGGCTAATACAGGAGTTGTCTATGTTTTGACGTCATTTCTGCACTTATATCACTGCCAACATTATGTGTGCTTGCTTTTAATCACCCCCCACCCCATACAGTTTTTACAAAAGTGCCAAGTTTCTTATGTGGTTGAAATATTTCTCTTGTCCTCTTTTTAATTTGTGACCAACTCTCTTGTATTTCCCAGCTGCTCTAGAATATCTGTATTTAACTGTTGTTTTTATAAAATGATGTACACATACATCTTCAAGGTCTCAATTGGACTTTCTAACTGTCTGTTCACTGGGCAGTCAGGAACCAACGGTGTGCGCACAAATAAATTAGAACTGTAAAACAGAGGTGCACATAAAACTCAGGCTCAGGAACAAGACCAAAGTCCGAGAACAGACAGACAACCAGAACTTTTCATCGGAGTTTACCGCTGCAGAGCACTAAGAAGAAGAATACTGATAATAAAAATTACCTATCTGCACTGGTAAACATGGGATCTGGGATTCTCTTGTATTTGCCTGTGAGTCGAAAGCTTTCAGCCAGGTTTCTGCTTGCTCAGCTGCCGCCCGTCTCTCTTCTTCAGTGCAGCTCGCTAGACTGTACCAGTCTTCCCTGTTATTACTGACATAAGGTTGGTAGAAGACGTCTCCATAGCCATCAACCTGGAGAACAAACACACACAACAAATAATATACTCTTGATGTCGCTTCTCTACAATCATATGTCATGGTGTCAAACATCAATCTCCCCGAACATTAATCTTGCTACCAAATGTGATGATGTTCAAGACACACAAAAATACTGGATGAACAGTAAGAAGAAGAAACACTAAATATCTTACACACAAAAATACTGGATGAACAGTAAGAAGAAGAAACAGTAAATATCTTCAATGTTCACATTAAGACCTCTCCTTTATGTTTCTAATAAAAGTAGTGGCTAGTATAGGTTATTTCTGTATATTTTTAAAAAGTAGAATAAAGTTGGTTGAAATTGTTGTAAATTCTACTGTGGTTTCTTATTGCAGTTCAGCCAGCGCTGAGAGTTTATCAGTAAAAATCACGGTCTCTTAAACTTTGCACTGGTCCGTACTGTGTGAGTGTTACTTCTGCTTGTTTTACTTCTGATTCTGTGTTAAGGTTATTAACATAATCTGCCTGTTGTCCCTGTGTGTGTTTGCAGACCCACTGCCCCCTAACACACATATTACAAGAGTTTAATAAGAGACGTTTCCTTCAAAGTCGGAGTGCATCTGCCTGAGAGGTGTGAGTGAGTGACGATGAACACCATCAGGACCACATAACGAGCGACTAATACCCAGTGACACAAAGTGTCCTAATTCGGATAAGAATCCTCCATGCACAAGTCCCAGAAGTTTCCTTCAACTGTTGGGGTTATATTAGGGCCCCCGAGAACAGCCAGGGTGGGGCTTTAAAATATGAAAAACATTGTGTCCCATATTGGGACGGAGTTGTTAGGAACCAACAGTCTGTATACAAATAAGCCTTATCTGTCAAATGAATGTAAACACAAAACTCAGGTTCTGGAACAAGACTACAATCCACAAGTAGATGAACAACCAGAACTTTCTACCGGAGCTGACATCTAGTGAATGCAAAGAAGAAGACTGTTTAACAATGGAAGCCACAGAACTTTGGTGGATTAACTTGTGTACTTGCCTGATAAACCGTGAAGCCATTGCCACCTGGCTGGCTAGTCACAGCTATCCCAGCCAGCGATGTCTCGAACCTCTTTTCAGCTTTAAGTAGGTCACAGGTGTAAGATGTATGCATGCTCTGACTGAAGTCCCTGTACAAAGAAGAATCCAAAATCATATTTCAGTTGTTTGGCTTGATGAATGAATTAGCAGGAAACTATGAAAAAAAACATGTGTCTAACAAAGAAGACATAAGATCCCACAAATGATAACATCAAGGCACAAGTGAACACACCATTAAAGTAGGAGTTTGTTCATACTCTGAGACACATGAGCTCAGGAAGGGTGAACCAGGTTGTTTCTTTTGCCTCTTTCTGTTTGCTAGCCGTAAAAACTGGTGGAAAATCCTGGTTGTCTGTCAACATCTGGACTATGGTCTTATTCCAGGACAAGAGTTTTGCATGCTTATGCTTTACCTGAGTTTGATGCTCTCAGTGTCTGTCTATGGGCTTGGCCTCCTCATAGTCAGCAGATATCAGCTGGAAAGACTAGAGAAAGTGCAAAATGAAGCCAGGAGAATCTAGAATTCCCACCTCAAGAAATTATCTTGGCTGCACACATCAGGATACACCGAAAGGAAATGAAAGAGCAGACAGACAGGCTGCATCTGCAGTGGTTAGTAGAGGAAAAGTATGGACAGGGCAAAAATACAGAATGCACTGTGTTCCAGAGATGTTGTGAGAAAGAAGTTATGGAAGATAAGTTGTCTGTTGGAAATGGGGTTTAAACAAAAACAAGCATGCCTGAGTTTAGTGCTTGGTTGCAGTCTTGTGAGCTGTGTTTTTTCTGTGGAATGCGTTTCATTAGTGAAGCGGTTGTGTCGTGGAATTGAATATGGCCGGTAGTCGGTTTAGGTATGAGTTGGTGAAATACCTTATGTAATAATTCTACATCTGTATAGTAACCGACTTATCGTGCCCGACTACTTTAATCAATGACAAACTGATTTTTTTTTAGTGACGATTGTTGGCTTTGGCGTCTCTAACAACTGAAATATGCATTTAATGCATGTGCATGTTCCAGGACTAGCTGTTTATTTACCAGTTTTTCAAATGCAACAGTGAGGGACATTTCATTTGATTTGCACTGGCACGGAGTAAGTTTGGGGAAACCCGATTGCGGTGATGTAGAAACCTTGATTTAGACTAAGAGTGCAGAAACCAGTTATGGGGTAAAGAAAGAAGATATGCCAATAAACAACTACTAGGCACGTTGAGCTGCTGCATCTGCGGACATAAGAATGAATAGAATGGACCTATGTGCTAGACTACCAATATCGATAACAATTAACAAGCAACATGTAAGCAGACTTTACATTTCTCTGTTGTTATCTCTTTGGTATGTGTTTTTTGGTACTGTGCACACCTCTGTATCCTCTTAATCTTGTACTGCAATATCTGCGCCTTTCTTGTTTTGTCACCTCAGTGATACCAGGTTGTAGCTCAAGTGTTGTGGTTTTCTGTATTTGTTTTGGGATTCTCGGGTGGCTTGGTTGATGGATTTGTTCATCTTTCGGCAGGTTTCTGTTACACCATTGGCCCATCTCTTTCTTAGTCCTCCTCTCACCTTTTTTTCTTGGTCTTCCACTTGATTTTCGGCTGTAAAAAAGTTTCATATTGATTTGGTCTGGCCCCACCATTTCATTCTTTGCCAGTCAGTCAATATAATTCAGACCTCTGACTATCTATCTTATGCTAGTATTCGTAACCCTGTCCCCTTTGTGTCTCTTCTATGCCTTTCAGCCCAACAAATCCAATTTCAGTAAATCCTTAAAAAGTCACCTTTTACGAAATACTTCTTAATAGGCCTATTTTTTTCTCCCCTAGGCTTGGTTCCTGGAATCCCCATGATGAGGACTGTAAACATCTACTTGCACTCCAAAGTTGATACAGCTAAAAATGCACAAAGTAATGGCAGCTGCTGTGATACTAAACACATCCCCCACTGAGTGCAGAATGGTCCATAAAAGCATGGGATAAACATGTATGCCTAACACATCTCAAGGCATATAAAATATCTGTTACTTTCTCAAACCCAACTGATCAGGCTAAATGGTTCTGAAAAAACACACACCCAACACTACCACTACTGAGATTTGAAAGCTTAACTACAATTATGGTGAGTTAACAGTCTGACTTCTATTCAAACACTGCATTAGTTTAATACAATCTCAAGTTAAGCCTACCCAATTTGAGAAACTTTCCAAGGAAGAACAGAACTGGTGACCGGGCCTGTGCTCAAACTGTGTAAAGGAAAACACATCACCTCAGGTGGCTGCTGGGATGCTACAACAAGCAACTTCTCTGCAGAAAAAGAATACAACAAAATACTGCTTAATGTGAAAGCCTAAACCTCCCAGTGTGTGTTAAAGGGCATCGTTTCTGAAACAATAAATACAAGACAAGCCCCCTAACAATCATGCTGTTAGAGACGACTAATTAGGGATTTTCTGAAATTGGATATGATGGGCTAAAAGACGCAGTTATCTCAGCCTTGCTGTAGACCACAACACAGCGTGCCAATTGTTATTCTAATAGTGAATGCAGAAGAAGAAAAAGAAATTATACATCAAAAATGTGTGTTACACCAGCAGTTGTTAACCTGAACATAGTTAGAGAAGGTGTAGCAAATCTGAGACTGCTGACACCTCTAATGCATCAACATGTTTCATATCACTCCTGGTGTCATCATTTGTATTACAGCATGTCAACATTACTGCTCCACCCCTACACAGTCACTGCACTATCCATAGTATAACAACTGCAGCATAATTCCTTTTATAAAATATACTGCACCATTACTTATATAAAATCGACTGCACCATTGCTTAGATGAAATCTACGGCACCATTCCTTATATGAAATTTACTGCACCATTGTTAATCTGAAATAATTCCTTATATGAAATCTATTGTGCCATTCTTTATTTGAAATCTATTGTACCATTCCTTATATGAAATCTACTGTACCATTCTTTATATGAAATCAGTTGTACCATTCCTTATTTGAAATCGATTGTACCATTCCTTATATGAAATCTTTTGCAATATTCCTAATATGTAATCTACTGCACTATTCCTAATATGAAATCTACTACACCATTCCAAACTGAAAAGCTATTTAATTTAAAATTAAATGCTGTGCCATCCCCATACTAAAGTGCCCAAGGCTGCCTTTGGGGATATTACGCAGTGAGGTGCCAACCTCTTTCATGGTGTGGCTATTGTACCACTGTCTGAATGCCTAAATATATATATATATATTTTTTAACGTCAGTTGTGGAAATCAAATCCTGGGACATCAAGGACTGTGATACTGTTAAATGCATTTACTAGCCCCTAATAACTGCACAATTCCTAATATCAAAATTTTTGCATCAACATTTTAATGAAAATTACTGAGCCAACCATCCTTAACGCCAACACTGTGCCAACATGATTAATACTCCATCACCTATATGTCAATCTGACAGGCCTTGTTGGATGGCTGGGAAGTGAAGGCAGTCTGTCCTTACAATCATGGTACAGTGGACAGGTCTGATTGTTTTCACCACTGAAGGACAATACATTTTTACACTCTTAGGGCTCTAATCCAGAGTGTCTACTTTGACAGATCTGTACCATGGATACAATTGCTAAAAGATGGGGGATAATGTAAACAGGAATACTATGAAATCAATCACAGTTTAGCACATTTCCATCTTTTCAGATGACACTGTTATATTGTGCTATAAGGAGGCATGAAAATCATAGCCCATGGTGATGGCAAGTGTGACTAACAAGACCCTCTCATGTTAAGAAAAGTCTTCCACAGTTGATTTGATTTAATGTCTTGCCTCTCCTCTGAGCCTCGAGCATCTGCCAGAACTTCTCCTCACTCCCCGCTGCATCAATCTCACCACTTGGTGATCCATCTGTTCCCCCAAATTGTACACGCTCTCCACAAGGCACTAACCATGTCTGCCATATCATGCATCAGTATTCCACCAAGTTGTGCAGAGCCAGCCAGTCTGTCCACCTGTTCATTTCCCAACACACCAGTGTATCCCCCGTTAAAAAAATCCAGACAATACTCCTCACCCATGTCCTCTGCAGTGAAGCATGCCACTCTGCATGCATGCCACTCTGCATGAAGCATGCCTGTCCTGACTTTCCTCAGCATGCTTTCTGAGTCAGCTACAATCACGATGTGTGTGAAAGCGTCGTGTTCTCTTACCAGCAGAAAGCTGCAGTGACCGCCTCCACCTCCATTCTTAAGCTTGATGTTGTGGTATCATATGCTAGGCTCTCCTGCACCAAACATTGACCATTAACTTTTGCTAAGAAACCCCAAGCACTTCTTTTGCTTCTTGACACTGAAACGCCTGTGTAAATAATCAAATCCTCTGAGCGAGCATTATCTTGAAATAATTGCTGAATTTCCACCTCTGTGGCACCTGCTGGCCAGTCTCTGCATTCCCGGCTCAGTGAAGTTATGACCCTACACATGTCTGACTGTTCAGGTGGCACTTTGACCCACTCCTCTCCTCACCTAATGTTCCACAGTTTGAGCATGGGATTTCATTAACATTGTTGCTATTGCATGTATCTGATATCCTTCTTCTCAGATGCCCAACTAATAACCTACCTGAAACCACTTTCTTCTTTATCACTATTCCCTTTCTGACACCCCCTCCCCCAACACAACCCACGGTATTCTGTTTCCATGAATAACAAATTCAATAAGCATATGCATATAAGCTCCCTCTGAGAAGTTCATCAAAGTACCCATCTGGGCTGTGTGTGCACACTACAGTATATATCCTGCGAGATTGTCCTTTGTGCAGCCCATTAAGAAGAAAATACAGGTCCAATGAGTCAACATCTTACTCACAGCTGTATAGAACTAAAGACGAACTCAAAAAAAAATTAACAAAATTTTCAATTTTCAAAAGAATTTGCCTGCAAGCGTAAATAAAGGAAGTGATCACAAGAAGAAGGTAGATATGTTTTCTAATAATACAACAACCTAGTCATTTTATTTATGGCAAAAAAAAGCTCACCTTGCTGCATGAGGTTGTCACCCTGAAGAACCTGGACATACTGAGGGCGGCATATGAACTCTGTACTCCAGCTGAGCACCTAAAGCACAGGAAATATACTGTTAATATACATATAAATATTTGGTTGGTGAGCATCTCCCTATATCGAACCGCTATTTAACCCCCTTCCCCCGAGAAATTCAGCCATTTCTGGTTGTGACACAGCCTATTAAATGCCTATATACTACCACTTCTGCAGTGACCTGTTACTGAAAAACATAATTAAATATCTGTGTTCTATGTATGCCTGCATTGTGTTTAGAAGGTTCAGAGCACATTTTTCTTTTAGTTATCCGCACAAAATATTTGTTTAAAAAATAAAAATTGCTGGAAATTCTCATGGGTTCCTGGCCTAGTTTTTTGTTGTCTTCATGGAACGAACATGGGTCGTCCCCTAAGCTTCCCACCCTAGATTAGAATACACAGACAGACCCCCAAACCATGCCCTCCTCATCACCTTACAAACTTTCTAGCCTAATTATGGTGTGTGATTTCTTTTTAGGGAAGAGGGTGGGGGGGGGGGGGGGGGGGGGGGGGGGGGTGGGGGGGGGGGGGGGGGGCGCCTTAGGTTCTTGAGTGCTTCCCCTATCCATAATTTTGTAGGTGTGCTAAGATGCCCACTTTAACCAAGTACTGAAATTATCTTTTAATGTAGTTGTTCATGCATTTCATACTATTTCAAGTTATAATATTATATTTATTTGCCATTCTTCTTCTGATTATGATTATTATGTATTATCACATACTCATCAGAAGCACATCTTATTTCCCAGGAGCTTTGGAAACAGGAAAAGGTCACATGGTGCCAAATCAGGACTATGTGCTGGATGTGAGAAATTGTAGTCAAAGCTGAGACATTCCAACACTGCTGATGTTTGTTTACTAGTGTGTGGATGGGCACTGTCGAAGAACTGTGTGTTTGCTAGGATGAACACGCAGCAATCTTGCTCACAGATTCTGCAATGTTTCCACACAGCAATCAGAGATGACAGTATTCTTGTGCTTTCAAGCATTCTCTGTGGTTTGTGCCCCGACAGTCCCCAAAAATTGTCATCAGAACCATTTCTGCTGATGCCACAACCAAGAACTTTTTTTGTGGGTTAGGTGATTTTTTATTTTGGGGTAAAAATGATGTACCAACAACCCCTCAACAGCGACAGTTTAGCAGAAAAAGGCATCACCTTCTTGTTCGTAATGTGTCAGGTGTTTCTGACACACCTGATGTCAGTCCTGTTTCATTTTCGATGTCAACATGTGAGGAACCCATCTTGCACAAACTTCTACAGACCCAAATCATGATATATTTGCTCAATCAAAATCCCAAGCATAGTGGCACAATCTGTTTGCTTGATGTGATGATTGTCATGAATCAGTTCATCGGTGTGAGTCTGGTGTTGTTCATCCACAGCTGTGATCAGATGCCTGCTACGAGTCTGATCATGCAGATCTGGATTGCTGCCTTTTGCAGTCCTTGTTGACCTCCTAACAGTACTGACATAAACACAGACCTCACCATATACTACTCTCATTCTTCGATGCATGTCAGTGGATACACAACTCTCAGCCATCAAGAATTCTATAACAGCTCATTGCTTCAACCGAATTTCCATGTATGTGCACATGTGCCTCTTTCCACGCATTCATGTCTTGAAAGCTTTTTACTTATACAATATTCTCACAGTGATGCAATCTGTCCCCATATACTATTAACAGTTATGACCTTGGAGGCTTTACTTTTCAAACAGCCCTCGTATATATACATATACATATAAACGCATATGTATGTATGTAGGTATGTATGCATATATGTATAGGCATGAAGGAATAATAGAAATGTCTGGGCAACCAATGGTAACAACAGCTATAAAACAAAGAAGATGGTGCTAAACTGGACAGTCTGAGAAGAAACAAGCAGAGAATCATCAAGCAGGACTAAAAGGACTGAGGAAGCGATGAAGTCCAAAATAAACCCTAAACTGAACATGATTAAATGATGAATGTTGAATTAAAAATCGATATCATTGCAGTTGGAAAACTCTCATAAGCGCTCTGTCCCCATCTTCAGCAGCACGCAAAGAGTTCCAATTTCAAAGATACCAGTAACTATCTGATTGTACATCCGGCCAGATTCCGTGGCCACTCCTCGCAGCGTCATTTTCGTCAGACCGCAATGGTCTATTTGTGCCTCCTCACTCGCTCTAAAGGAGCCCCACATCTAACTTGTCGTACATCTATTCACCACCAAATGGTGCAAAACCACCTATTCTATCTGACTGCTCATTTCCCAACACACCGGCATAACTGGAGAAAACACCCAAAGGGCGCCAACTGCCCAGAACCTCTGAAGCAATGCTAGCCACTCTGCACGAAGCATGCCTGTCTCCACCTTTCTTTCCACCCTCAAACTAGACATTGTGATATCATATGCTAGGCTTTATTGCACTAAGGGACCTCCATTTACTTCTGCTATGAACCTTCATGCACTTCATCTGCCTCTCAACACAGAGCCATCCATGTAATCACATCACATGGGCGGGAATTGTCATAAATCATTAGTTGAACTTCTGATTCTGCAGCACCAGCTGGCCAATCCATACACTCAAGACATACTAAAGTGATTAAAACTCTACACAAATACGATTCATGCTCGGACACTCTGACCCACTCCTCTCCTTAACCAAATTTATCAACCCTAACATGTCTAATTGTGTCTTCAGCTTGCGCCATCCAAGACCTTATTCTTCCTAGCTCTACCTAGGGCTTTATGCAAGAGGTGCTTCTTGTCTGCAGCTACTCTGAGATATGTCTTTGCCTGAAGAACTTTGAGCCTATCTGCAATAGTAAGCAGTGCAAGCATATATCGCATACATACTACCAGGGTATCTCTTGTACATCCCAGAATTACCCGCATGGCTTCATTCTGTACATGTTCAAGTTTCCTCAGCTGACTCTTTGATATGGTAAGCCTTGTGCTTGATAAATGTGGACGGGAGGAGCCAAGGATGCTGAACTGAATTACATCCATGATATCGAAAGGAGTACAAAGGACAGAACGAAATGAAAGAAGACTGCAAGCCATATCTGGCATGTATTGACACAACAGTACAATGATAAATTAATTCATCAAGTGCCTTGCCAATTATGCTTCTCCACATGGTTCAATCTCCAACAGCATGAGAGTCTTGACCACATTTGCCTTGTCCGGTTTAGAATTCAATTACAATGGTTATATTCTTTATCTTACAAGTAATTTTAAAACATCAATACTTACTGGCGCTAAAGGGAACCTTTGATCAATAATAAAAATGCCGTAATCAGTGACAACTGCATGCAAGGGAAATCCAAGGGATGTTGCTGCCACAACAAGCTCCTCTTTGCTTGTCAGACTGGGTGACAGTGAGAACAGCTCTGTTCTACAGCTGAAGTGAGACTGCAAATACAAACATTCTATAATTACATTCACTGATTTTCATATTCCAATTAGGCTCACCGCTTAGTGAGAATTAGGGGGATTTCATAATGATGACGATAATATTAACATTTATGTATTTCCTTCTTTTGCTAATATCTGCTTTGTGCTGTTAGGCACTGCACTTAACAGATGACTGGCAGGTGAGCTAGGGCACTGCAGTTACCTGGTATGCTGTAATGTGTTAGGCTGTCAGTTACCCGTCAGTCCATCTCATTCTGGGTCTTGCTCTGCTTCTTGGTGTTTCCATTTTTCATGTTGTATGTATGGCCTCACTGTCGACATTGCTGGATTCAGCCTCACTAGGTGGTGAACAATATTTGTCTATGACCTTCCTCAATCCACCTTTGTTATAACAGAAACCAGAGGTAGCCAAAAAACTGGCATATCATAGAAATCTCTTATCATATTACAGTTGTGATTGTACCAAAATGTATAGGTGTTCTGTTCCCCCCCCTCATTTGTCCTTAAAAGACAGCTGGCATGCTGTGTTGTTGTGTTACAGATAGGCTGTGATATCTGCACATATCGACCCAACACATCCTATTTCAACAAACCCTAATTAGTTGTAATTTTTTACATACCTGTTTGTTGGAAAGGTATGGGGGGGGGGGGGGTTGCATGAATGAGTGGGTCTATTATTTTTGCCCCTAAATGGGGCCCAAGGACCTATCTGGACAATCTTTTGCTTTCTGTTCACAACTTGGTAGCTTCCCCAATGTCAGTAATAAATCAATGAGACATTCTGTTTAAAAAAGCTAGTATCAATGGAAAAGAGGTGTCTAGAGAAGGGAAGGCTGCGGGAGTGAACAAAGAGACAAAACCAGGTGATCATAAGAGAAATAATCAGCCTAGAAATACTGAACTGCATTTACAGACAGTCAATAAAATCGGTTGGCCCACTTAAGAATGCACAGTGATGCCATACCAAAAAAAAAAGGCACATATCAAAAACAGGAGAGGGCTAATGAGGGCAAACCAAACAACATTGTAAAAATATATAAGAGAAACTTTACAACAGTATCATGCATCTACAGTCATGGTGGCCTGAATAGTAAAAACCAGAACCATGTTTCAACAATGAAACTGTAAAAGAGGGAGTGAAAAAAAAAAAAGGAAAGCAACAGACTCATGATCTTTTTTAGTTATTTTTTCCACCTTTAAGTCTTTGCGGCAAAACCTTCTGAGGCTGAAAAAGTTAAGTCTGCCAGGTCTACATCCGTTTTTATAGGAGCATGAAAACTAGTGAAACATCAAGTATAAGATGCCAGAGTAAACACTTACTCTGTGATCAAACATGGACAAGGATGTACTGTCAGCCAGGACAACTTGCCGAGGATGACCACCAAAGTATGTGCATGACCACTTGTCTGTACAATCTGAATCTTGAGGCTTGACCAATATACGATTCTTGGAACTGGTAAACAAAAAAACAAAAAAAGAGGACTAATTGTGGCTTAAATCTTACAAAGAGTACATAATTAAATACTGATTACATCTCTTTTGCATTACAGTAAGCAACACTGTAACATACGATGCAAATCACAATTCCTTACCAAAGAACAAACTCACATCCATCAATGGCTTAGCAAATGCACTAACTTTCTGGCCATGTGCTCAACTGTTACTGAATAGGCCAGAAAATATATAAGCCAATTATATGGCTAATTTTTAAATATGATAAACAAAAGCATTACTTATATAATTTACAATATTACAATGGAAGAAAGTGAAGCACTGGGATGTTTTTGAATTGAAATTTAATAAGCCTTTTTAAAATGACATATGTAATATGAGTACATTGCTTATGACCTATTGAAATCTGTATGTAAGGATCCGGAAAGAAAAATGAGCTTCAAGGCATAACACAAGTGACAAATCAGTACAATAATCACTTTTGACATGAAACATGAAATTAGGTGAGAAAATTATGAAGTAGCGGCCAGATGCTCACATGCGGATTGGAAGGTCGTGGGTTCACTCCCTGGCAGAGATGTTAATTCTATATACTGCAATCCCGAAGGAGTAAGAAACTAAAAACACAAAACAAAACAAACTCACCCAGATTGAATGTCCCACAAGTAAGCACTGCCTTCGTTGGTAGATATCAGGAGTTCATTTTTTATGAAGGGACTGCAAAAGAGCCATACAATGTCATTAGTAGGAAGAAGCAAAATATAACAAACTGCAAATTAATTTACTATTATGTTTAAAAGGAGGATCTTTTCCACATAATCAGCATACTAGGCATATGTTCATGCACACATTTGTTTATAAGTCAATAGGCACTCAATGAATGATGTACTCAATATCACACCAGCTGCCTTTACTTACTAAGATTTTTCCTTGTAACCATTTGAGGCTGGGTCAGTCTAGGAGCTTAGGCCATTTACAAAAAGTCTGCCCTGATAAGGATTTGAACCCAAGATCTTCGGGCTAACAGCCAACGTCTAGTCAATGCCTTACTGCAGCAATCAAATTGATATTTGTTTGTTTGTTTGTTTATTCAACGGATATCAACATCATGAAACTCGGGTGTAACCCATCAGTGCTCCATTCTACTTCTAACTCAAGCCGGAGTCTGAAAAATCTCGGCGCAATGCATGAACTCCAGTGCACCGGCGAGGATCCTGAAATACTTTTTGGGTACATTTTTAGCTCCACATTTTGCCAGGCAGCGCCATTAGGCTACTCTTTTTGATTTCCAACTGTCAATGGATTTTTTTTTAAACATATGTAAGAATACACACAGGCGTGCAATCTTACTACCCAGAGACCAGGGAAAATTACTAGAAGTCTACATGAAAAAATCCCAGCCTTCACCGGGACTTGAACCCGGGACCTCCCACACTACTCGATTTACAAAAATCAAACCCCAAGACCACTAACCACCCCCCCCCCCCCCAACAAAAACTGATATGTTTGCCACATGTCAATATTCAACCAACCAATGCTCCTTTCATAACGAAGACTGACAGCAGAGGATCTCTAACATTATCTTTTTCTCTGGTGGTACAAGGAGATTTTTGTGGGGAAGTGTCCAAGCCATTTTCCCCAACAAGTGAAGGTCGTGGGTTCAGTTTTGGGACTGGACCATTCCATTAATGAGTATGACCCCCCCCCCAAGAGATAGTCTTAATGCAACACTTTTGACAAAGAGAGACTAAACCATATAGAATAAAACCGTGAGAAGGTTAGCCTGGGCAACAAATGCCTGTAGAAGTTGGTTGTTTCAGCCCAGAACTGAATGTTTTGCAGCCATTTTGCAAACGGGCACAGCACTTTTATATCTTCAGATCAATGCAGAAGATTCTTTTCAACTCTGCCAGGACACTGATAACTGTGCATAAATATCTTGATTATTACATCTTCTAATGTGGGGAGTTATCAGGGGATCCTGCTGATGCTCAACACTCAAGGGAAAGGTGAAACTGATGTACAATCAGACAGTTACTGGTACCATGGGAACTTGAACTCTTCACTTGCTGCTGAATATGGGGGCAGAGTGTTTATGGCAGTGTTCCGAGTGCCATGGTGTCGATTCTAATTCAATATATCTTCCAACTTGTGTTGCTACATATTTCTTGCTCGAGAATTATTTAATAAGAGCGTGTATGCCATCACCATCTGGCAGGTCACTCTCATCATGGACTGCATGAAACTTATGCCTCTTGCCAGCTCTCCACCTCATGCACTTTCCTACCAAAGGTAGCACTTACATGCTGTGCTCATCTTCGTGCTTGTGGGCCCCTGCCCTCTTTCCTGGCACCATGTAAGTAAAGTAAAGATCCCTTTTCTGGCCTTTAGGTGTATCAGGCATTTGGGTAGAGCACTCATATTTTTACAGACCAATCGGAACTAGGTGGGTAATGTGGTCAGCATTATACTTTCCCTTTAGTTCTTGCTGTAAAAGCTCAAGCACTTTGCTTCTGACAAATCTCAGAACCATCTAACTATCACTGTCATAATGTGAAAATGTTTAATATGTAAACATGTGTCTTCTTCTACTATGTTCACATTTAAAATGGTGGTTTTCATTGTGGTTTACAGCTAGACTGTGATATATGTGCCCTTCAGCCCATATGATTTTAGCAAAACACCTTTATCTGTTGACTTCTACAACATGCCTGCTAGCAGGCAGCGGGTCTATTCTTTCTTTCTTCCAAACTGGGTCCCAGAACCCAAATAGGACACACGTGTGTGAAGAGAATAATATAACTTCACATCTGAAGAAACAACTCACCTAAAACTCACAGAGGACAACACTTCATCAGGAATTTCTATGTGATCTTTCTGTTTCAGTTTAGGATGTCTAGTCTTGTGACCCAGAAGAAGACACTTATGTTTCTGTCGTGCACATATCAAGCCTAAAAACAAAAACAGAACTCATAGGCATAATACCCAACAATCAAAAGAAAAAAAAAAACAGTAATGCAAATTTACTTACGACCATGGACAGAAGGAATACCAGTTTCAGGCATACACAAAAGGAAATAATGAGTTCATAAAACTGTATGTATGGGGCTCGCATTAACCAACATTCCGTTCTTCTCCCACACTGTTCCAGTTTGTCAACCATAGACACAATTCCAGAAGTTAGATATAAAAGCACTTCTATTCCAACCACACCAGCTTAAGAAACTGTGTCTCAACACACTAAGCCCAATTATTATTCTTTAGCTGTATCCCGAGTCCTTGAGGCTCGTTACTGAGACATCACTCACTTGCAATCATATCTGTGATTGGCCTTCTCTTTCCATTTGGTGACTACAAGTGTTGGTAGGTCTGCATTATGATCTATTCCAGTTTAATTTAACTCTTCTGTGCACCTAGTTTTTGTCTCTGTTATTTTCATCTTCCTCAGTATGCCCTTATGATGCCAGTAATAAGCAGTGACTTCAACACTCTCCATATATGCTCTTTGCATGTCCTTACCCATATAGGACTCCAAGTTACATCCGGCTATGTAGCCCTATGGGTTATCATCATCATGTGCCTTGCCGACTGGCGTGGGCGATCATGCCTCTCCATAATCTGCAATCTCCTGCAGCATGTATCAGTTCGGGTGCCAACACACCTCCATGCCATGCGTCAAGACTGTCAAGCTTCTCTCGTTGTCTTCCTCTATCCCTTTTTCCACAGATCTTTCCAGTGGTCACAACATGTTCTATTTTCCCTCTTCTCATAACATGGCCAAAAAATTATGTTGTCTTCGGGCTCCCGCCTCTTTCAAAACCTCCTGGTTGCTCTTTTTGGCTGTCCAAGGTATTCTAAGCATTCATCTGTAAAACCACATCTCTGAGGCCTCTAAAAATTGTTTGGCCTGCCTATCGATTGTCCAGGATTCACATCCATATGTTAAAACTGGATGTATGTAGCAAGCAAGAATTCTTTTTCTAACTCTCAATGACAAGGATATATTGCACAAGATGTTTTTCATTTTATAAAATGCAGTTTTTGCCTGTCCAATACTGTTTCTTGTTTCAGTTATGCATCTTCCATCTGATGTTATCCATGTGCCCAGATACTTAAATTTCTGTACTTGTCCTAAAATAACACCATTGACTTTTATTACACATTTAGGAATAATTTGTTTCTTTGATACCACCATTACTTCTGTCTTCCCATTATTCAAACTGAGGCCCATTCTTCCACTTTCTAACACCACAATGTCTATCATTTCCTGTAATTCTTTCTGACTTGTTGCTATCAAGAGTGTGTCATCAGCATATCGTAAATTGTTTATATTGTGCCTACCAACCACAATTCTGGGCATATCAATTAAAGATCTCACTATTTATTCACTGTATATTGAAAACAAATCACTAGTGGGTTATGGGTACCCTAATTATAACTTCTTTTGAGGATGAACAGGGTATCTTTGATCTACCTTCCAGATGGGATTTAATAATCTCAGGAAGGATGGAAAACCTGTAGGTAACATTTTGGAAGGGGCAAATTGATCATTTGCATTTAACTGCATATAATAAAATAATATCACAGATGCAACCAACACTTGTCTTTCTTTCAGCTTTTGTTAGAGTTCACTGGATTAATGTCTTGGTATTAGCCTGATTGCAGTCACCACAGTTTTTCACCACCTTTTGGAAGCCCCTTAACAAGTATGTCATCAAAGGCAGCTAATCAAGGATTTGCTGAAATCAGATTTTTGAGGCCGAAAGGTGCAAATATCATAGCCTAGCTGTACATCACAACACAATGTCAATTTAAGGGTGACTGCAGAAGATTCACATGTAAATCATAGGGGTTTACCAACAGCAGACAACTTAGTAGTATAATTTTAAAAAGCAAAAATTAATAGACTTTTTTTAAAAAACACATGAGATACAAGGAGTGCAGTTGATAGGAGACTCGCTTTCAAATCCAGCTGCAACTCGCTGCAGCCCACGGCCGGTTCCCGCCATTCAGCCATCCTCTAGGAAATGGGTACCAGAGTTAACAGTCTGAGGTAAATTGAAGAACGTCGCTGTAGCTACGGAGTTTCATGCGGATGGTGACAAATGCGGACAGTTTCTTATCAGCTGTCTGTACTGGTGGCAGAGCACTTATGGTTTGTAACTGTGTGCAATGACGCTGGTTCACATCACCTGACTTTATCTTTTCAAGGAGAGAAAAAGAAAACAGAGAGAGAGAGAGAGAGAGAGAGAGAGAGAGAGAGAGAGAGAGAGAGAGAGAGAGAGAGAGAGAGAGAGAGAGAGAGAGAGAGAGACTAAACTTATACTTGAAAAGCTGTTACCTCGTTTTGAAGGAATGCTGGAAGAAGCAATCTGGAACACTGGCTCATCAACTGTAAGTTTATCCAATATTTGTCCATGTCTAAGTTTACTGCCATGTGTGCAAGACACTTCTGTCATATCTTATAGAATGTCAAGGACAATATGGACCACACTAGATAACAAAAAATGAAGGGTTTAAATGAAGATGTGAAGACATTTGGGTGAAACTTTAAAACAATTAGGATTCTTTTTCTTCTTCTTCCACCTTGTACTTCAGCAAAGTGTCAGGGGGGAGATGTAACATTCGTTGATGAGCTCTGTCAAGAGCACTATTAAGACTGATGTTCATTTCTGTAAGGCTGCTCTTAATGCCATCACTCCATGTTTACCGAGGTCTTCCACTCGCTCTACACCTGTTGTAACATTTTAGTGTGGCTCCCTGTGGCAGATATAGTACCAGGGCATTCTTGTAAGGTGTCCAAACCATTTCATTTGTTGTTCTTTGATGACCTGTAAGACTGGCTTTATTCTAAGCATTTGTCTGATTTCGTATTCTGTCTTTCCTTGAAACTCCTGCAGCTCTTCTAAGGCATTTTATCTCTGCTGTCACAATTTTATGTTCATTAAAGGATGTAAGTGTCCATGTTTGGCATTGATAGCATAGTGTTGACCAAAAAATAGTTCTGATAAGATTCACTTTAGTACTCCGGGGTATCTGCTTGTGTGTGAACAGGGGAGACAGTTGCCCCATAAGTTGATTAGCTTTGTCACATCTCAAGCTAATTTCTCTGCCAAGTTTTCCGTTGAAGGTGAAAAATGCTCCCAAATACTTGAATTCCTCTGTTTGTCTTAACCCTACCAGACCTGAGGCCCTGAACCTAACTGTCCCTATAACCTGAGCTCCTGGGCATTACCGCGAAAAAACCAACATGATATACAAAAATATTAGTTACATGCAAACGAGTGGCTAAGAATATGATGAAACCTTGGAGACATTGTAGTAAAATAGACTTACCTTTTATCTAGCGCCATGTTCCACCACCTTTGTGTGCGAATTCACTCATCAGGATCAACTTTGTTTCACAAAGTGAACACCAGATGTTGCTGTTTGATGGACACACCCTCTTCCCTTACTATCGATCTTTTCAAGATTGACAATTTTCAAAGATTTTCCTCATCATTCGCGCTCTCACTGACAGTGTCACTTCAAGAACGTATTCTTTATGAAATTATCACAGATAATGAATATATATATATATATATCACAGAGTGTGAATAAACCAAAGTATTGATCACCTGTTGGACTGTGAAAAGCCTAGAACTTGGCTCATCAGCTGCTCGTTTCATTGTGAATTTTCATAATTTTTCCACGTAAAACAAAACAAATATAATCCACACATGCGGGCAGACATTTGCAATGTCTAACAAAGAGGATTGATAACGATTGGGTGGTTATTTTTAGTCCGTGACGAATCGTTTTCCTGTATTTCGCAAAAAGCAGAAAATTAGGGCCAGCGGTTTAGAGACTGGTTAAGAAATCCCTGGTAAACCGGGCCAGCGGCTTGGTAGGGTTAAGGTGTTGTTTTTTAGTTTTATTTCTAAATTGTCTTTCTGTCTTCCTATCACCACCATCACTGTCTTCGTAGTGTTTATTTTCAAAATATATTCCTTCGCTTTGTTATTAATTTGATTTAGGTGGTTCTGTAGGCATTTGCTGTTCTTAATTAGGATTAGTTGTTAATCTTAGGATAATGAGTTTTAGGAGATGTATCGACAGGCATCAAAATGAGAAACCTGCAGTGTGAGAAAACTACATGACAAGACACAGAAAGACTTATTTGGAATGCTTTATCACTGTGTGGGTTCAGAGGTCTCGGTTTGGAGGGAAAAAGGACAGACCCACTTCCCCCTTAATAAACATGTAATTAAAAAGTGACTAAATTAGGGTTTGCTGCAACTGAATGTGTTGGGTCAAAGGGCGCAGGTATTGCAATCTAGCTGTAATCCACACCACAAGATGTCAACTGCTATAACCAGAAAGAGAAGATCGGCGCAACAGCTGGGTAAGAAATAACAGCAACACAAACACAACATTTCGGATGACAGAGACGGTTGGAAAGTCAGAAGACAATCAGGTAATCACAGTTCCAATTTCATAGCAAATGAGTCGGATCACCCCACAGCTGCTCTGTTCCTGTGCCAACAAAAATATGTCCCTTGCGAAGAAATTGACAAAATTAATAGCATATACATGTATACGGCAGCCATCAGAGATGCCAACACAAACAGTCCAGCACTAGAAAAACAGTCCGCTGCCGATGGAAGCAGCAGTAACAGATAAGTAGTTGCGCATGCAACTAAGTGCAAAAGGCAAAACCAGTTCTCTGGCAAGAGGACACTCAGCATTTTCTGAATCTGCATTTCACAACACAAACTACACTGCAGCTTAAAGTGTCACGATATGTATACAACACAATATCTGGGCAACAGAACTATATCCTTTGAGTCTATATATGAATAAAATACATCATGGCTAAATACTGCCAGAAGCAAAAACTTGCCACCTATCTGTCATACTGACTGGAAATCCTCGGTAAAGTTGTGATGGCAAGAGGCCCGCTCCATTCCAACCACATAAAGAAATTAACCTTTGTTCATTAGAATATGAAATTTTTTAAACATTTCCAGTAGCCTGTAACTGAAATGTATGAAGTATGGTAGCAGAGAAATTAGCATCTTGCGTAACAAGATAGTGGCCGAGGTTCAATTCCCAACAGTGGTAGAATTCTATTTTCCTGACCAGTGTGGTTCTGGGTCTGATTAGTCTCATAATATGGGCACCAGATAATTTTTGAACATATGGGAACTGCCTGGACAATAAGGAATTAAATCAGATATTACCCATCATTATACTACTGTCTGAAGTATATGAAGATTCTATGACAACTGCCGTGTGGTTCGTGTAATTCAAATTCTCACCAAGGAGAACTTTTAAAACTGACACGGACTCCAAGGTTGATCCAGCTTAAAAATGTCCAGGGAAGTAAAATTGGTGTCATTTTATTAACCACATGTGTTATCAAGTGCTATCTGATATGTGAAAAAATTTGTTATTTTGACTGTTTATTCTGAAAGTGTTGAACTAAAATTTTTTTATTTTCGGGGTGGCTAAAGGGGGGTTTAAATGAAACAAAAAAACAAAAAGGAACAAATGTC